TAACTTTTAGATTGTAAGCTCTCATGGGCAGGGCCCTCCTAACTAGGAATGCACCATTTAATTATGATATATTTTTCCAGTGCAGATATCTGCTGTCATGTGTGCATTACTCATGTTGGACCACATTTTTGAAAGTATCTGATATATAAATTGTGCTTCTAAACTTGTAAAACAACTGGAGCATGAAAACCGTATGGGGCAATGCATACAGTTTTTTGTGGACCTGTTGGTTTTATGCAAAGCCTTAACAAGAGTTTATATTGATAATATATCATTACATCACATTAGTATCCTAATAGTTGATATTGTGCAGTAAGGTAAGATATTTATTCATAGTATATGTAGAATTACCTTTTTTACTACACCGGTTGCGGTTACAACATTTTCTGCTCCTTCTACCGTCTTTATGGCAACTTGATTTACGCCAGTCACCACAGCTCCTCCCACAACATTGGCCTGCTCTTTAGTTTTCTCAGCAACTAAAAATGACAACAAAGCAAATGAAGAGTAAATATTTCAGAAATGACTTCCTCCCTACTCAGCGGGTTTAATCTTTGAACAATATGTTTTGACTGATGCTGATTTCCCTTACTATTTAATGCTTGCTGTTGTAAAATAGTGAATAGTGACATGACATTTTGAAAACCCCTGCAGAATATCACAGTAACCTTTTGAAATAAATATCTAAAAGAAATTATATGCACGCTAATAGCAAAACCAATATTTACGTTGACAACGTAAATATATATTTAATATTTAAGTTGACAACTTTAATTATTTATTGGCTTTTTTTTTATTTCTTGGGGTGAGATGTCTCATTCAGAATTCCCAGTTCTGTGCAGCTAATGTGTCCATTACAAAGCCAAATAGTGGTATTATACACTATAACATACTTGTTGACATAACAGGACTGACCCAACATAATAACGTACCTAAACGTGCCTACTGACATCAGACAATTATTGTTCATTTTGGCTGTTTTATTAACAATCAGAAAATGTCTATAATAGGCCCTGTAAGCAGTAATGCTGATCTAATAGGTTGGATTTGTCCCCAAGACATAGGTCCTTACTCTGAATGTCTACTCAACCCCTGCATGTTTATCAAATGCTTGTTCCAGAATTTGATTCAAGGTCTGTAATGTGGAGCCTAATATCTTTAGCTGAGTTCTTGAACAGTGTATTGATGCAAATTTTGGCCGTTTTTTAATGTACTGGACGAAATTCAGCCAGTGTGTGGGTCTGTCGGCTCCCTTTCAGCCTAAATTCCTCGATTAGCTGATTGAAGGAGCTGGCTGGAAAATTATTGTGCGGCAGCCAAAGTGCCAGCGGCATCTGTCAGAATACAATGCAAACAGCGGTGATTCCTCGATTGACACGCTGTTCGTGTTGATGGAGGAATCGCGTCAATTGAAAAAATTTGATAGTTGTATGGCCAGCCTTAGTTTGTGTTCTGGGGCAGTTGTTTCAATGCCTTGCCCTAGAGTTGGGCCGGATTTTGTTTGTTAGGGATTACCCAAATAAAAATCTTTGCTAATTTGCCATTGGTTAGTTATTGTTAACAAAAAGTATTTTCTTTATATATTATTAAAATCCATATACTAAGTAAAACTACCATCATTTAGTATATTATTCAGCAAGAAAGTCTTCTTATTAGGTGCTATTTTTATTTTTTTCATTTAAAAAAAATTAAGGAATGGTCCCATTGAAAAGGTCTTCATTCACTTCCTGTCCAGTAAACACAATGAGAAGTGAAAGAAAACCTCTCAAGAGTGAAATGCCCTTTAAACAGTTGTCACAGAAACAGATGTTCCCATTGGAAGATTCCCCATTATTTTCTGCTTCTTTACAATATCCCCAGCAATCAGATTAACATTTTTTTCTCTTATGAAACTCTGGTAAGACTTTGTAGTAGGTTAGCTACACCTTGTGACTGTACTTTAAAAGAACTATAGGAGTTAGGAGATGTATGTTTTACCTGTGCTGACACTGTGCACCACACCTTCCTTCGTCTTGGCACCTGTGAAACAAAATTGACATATTGTGTCATCGTTGTTGTGCAATTCCTGATTATCTGCATTCCAAAACACATAAATTACATATAATTGGAGGTAACAACCCAAACTGAAAAAAGGCTGATCATGCAGCAACATTCATTATTTATACATTTGCCACATACATTTAGCAAGATTGATTCAGTTACACACCTTTGTTTTTATTCATCTTAACTCCCATAAAATGGCACAGGAAATCATTGCCCATTTATTTTTTTATATTCCGTTTTCTGGGTAAAGTGCAGAACATTAAGGATTTCACTTAAATGTATTTATTTATTTTGCTGCATTTAAACATATGTTGCACAAAGATATAACTACAGCCATTGAACACTGTACAATTTTTGAAGGCTCCAAAAACAGTAGTTTATTGCGGCCGCAATACCATTTGACCCTTCATATTGATACATTGATGAATGTGTGCATAGTTCAGACATATATGTGTCAACTAGCTTTCATGCCATGCACTGCTTTCAGATTAGAAAGGTCCCCGAATTGGAAATAGCTTTAAAAGAGTTAGTCACATTAAGGATTATGCAAGGATTTAAAGTGGAAGTAAAGCACCTATAAAAAATAAATAAAAAAGGTGGTCTCGTGAGCTTTAAGCCATAATGTGCTAGTATGCACAACATATTAGCACATTATGACAGACATACCTGCCAAGCAATGCACTTCTCCCTCACTGGTGCTTCAAACTTCACCCGGTCTTCTTTTGTGTTTCAAGTCTTTGGGTGCTTGATTGGTCAGGCCCGATGACATAACTCCTGCACATGTACATGTGAGTTACTTCATCTCGGCATGCCGGGTCTGTGCACTGAGCTGTGTCTGCACTGCTCAGTGTACAGAAAAAATAAATGCTAAATGGCAGCAAGAAGCTTTTATGGCTGAAGAGACTTACACAGTCTCTTCTGTAATATAAAGCCTGACAATTGGCACTTAAAAAAATTCAGGAAAGTGGTGGAGCACCAGGGCCCTGTCACAGCTGCAACCCTGGTAGTTCTCGTGAAAATGCCAAGTATCGGCACTGGTATCTGAACATGCCTATGTAAGACACTTAATGTCAGTTGCTGACCTCCTCCTTGATATGATATTTGTCTGGATATCTCTGGCTTCAGTTTCCTTTAAATCACTGTTCCAGAACAATATTGCTTTGTCACAAGCCCAGAACAAAGTTATAACTCTTAATCTTCACTTGTTCCGGGCTTGTGATGAAGAAATTGGGACACTATGGGGTCTATTCACAAAGCTGCCGAGGGCAGCCGAGTGAATGACCGATCAGAAGTGAAGTGAGCCGAACACTGTTCGGCTATTCACTTCAGGCTGGTACGGCTGATTTCAGCCATACATCGGCTGAAATCAGCCTACATCGGCTTGCTTCGCGTGGCTTCGGATCAGCCGAATATGCTCAGCATGTTCGGCTGAAAGGATCGGCCGAAGCTACGGCCAGATCCTTCGGCAGCTTTGTGAATAGACCCCTATGATAGCCAAACTGAATTTTCACAGAGAGGTCAAGCAGGGAAGTGGCTAGTAAATAAAATAAAGTGCCCAGTGCTAATCACAACAAAGTAAAAAAAAATTTGCTTTCTAAGAAAAGTGAATTCAGTTATCGAGAGAGTGCAAACAAAAAAGTATCTGTAAATAAAGTGCTTATAAAATGTATTCCAGATGATCAATGTTCCCGTCCATTTGCACCAGATCGGGTGGACCATTAGATCAAAATGGTCTAATAGTGCTCATGTATGGTCAATTTGTGTTAATTTGCTCATGCATCCACTGAGAGGTTCCAGCCACAGGCTTCCACTATTCTCCTCAAAAGTGTACAGATGCAATTGCTTCTCAATGAATAAGCTTACCCAGAGCCGCTGTCGGCTGGCTGCATATAATCCAACGATAAGCCAACAAGTAATCCTTGTGTGTAGTGACCTAAGCGTGTATCTGCCCACCGATGCGTTTCATCATGTGACTTTCTCGGGGTAGGGCCCTGAGACACCAAACCTCTCAGTGGATGGATGAGCAAATCAACACAAATTGACCATACTTGAGCGCTATTAGACCATTTTAATCTAATGGTCCACCCAATCTGGTGAGTGCGGTTTATGTCACTGGTGGCGCACATGGACGGGAAGATTGATCGTCTGGAATACATTTTATAAGCCCTTTTTTTAAGAGACTTTCTGTGTTTGCACTATCTGGAACACTGAATGCTCTTAGAAAGGACATCATTTTATGACTTTGTTGTGATTAGCACTGGACACTTTATTTTATTTATTGTATGAAGGGCTTTTTTGATCTTTTTTTGCACAGCTGCTTTAAAGATTACCTATTTGAGATTAGGAGCGTGGATCTGTTTAAGATTTTAATTAGGGCTAGTGTCTAGTGATTCAGTCTTTCATTAGTCCAGGCAGTTTCAGTATTCTGACATGAAATAAATGTTTTATATTACTTGTCTACACTAGCAGGGGTAGCCGTTGTACTTTTGGTATTTGTAGTTACACCGGAGCGGTGGGGCAGAAGTTTGGCTACCCCTGCTCTGGCACTGATCCCGGCAACATTTTTGAACAACCTATGCATAGCGGTGAATCCCCATAGCCAGACAGTTCCAGCACTGCAGTACTACACATATTCAGTTAGAGTGGGTCCAAAACTCCAGTAACCAACACTTCTGTTCACTACTCTGTAGGGATCCCCACTCTTCTCAGGCATAGGTGTTGTCAGGAACCACTCAATTACATAGTCATAAAGAGGCCCTCTGTGCACAGTGGTTGCAGAGGGTCCCAGTAGTATGCAGGGGGTCCCATCAAACACCAGGGGCTTTAATACATGTGGTCCCAGGTCACAGGGCACATGACACCCAAGTGAACCTTCCTCAACATCGCTGATCCTGACTGCTCCACTGATCATCCCCCTACAAGACCACCACCCAATCC